TTGGAAGTTCAGCGTGTCTTAGAACATACGTTGCAGGTACCCCCAACCTCTTCGCTGTCTGTAGAGGAGGTACTGGACGTTCTACAACGGCACATCAAAGGACAGCAGAATGAAGCTCTGCGCAGGAGGGAATTGTTTAGCTGCAGACAGATGGAGGGTGAGTCTTTTGACGCTTTTTATGTACGTCTTAAGAGAGCCTCGGAAGAGGTAGATATATGTTTAGGCCACCACCAGCAGTGCGAGGAGACCCAGTTGAAGCAGGTGATCCTGATGGGTGTTAAGGACGAGGAACTTGTCCAACGCCTCACCTCCCTCGACTCTTCCTCTTCTCTTCAGGATGTGTTGACGATATGTCGCTCCTATGAGGCTGCCAGGTGTGCCACCTCTGCCATCCGAGCTCCCCCTACAGCTGTACGCGCTGTTTCCCGGTACAAGAAGGACAAGAAGTCTGCTCCTACGCCTTCGCCCACCACGTCCACGCCCGGTTCATTTTGCAACAACTGTGGTAAGCAGCACGGAACACAGGTATGTCCAGCTGCTCAGTCTACCTGCAACAGTTGTGACCGTAAGGGCCACTGGTCACTCACAGTACGGTGCCCAGCCAAACGCGTCCAGTGCAATGTGTGCGGCCGTCTGGGCCACTATGACAAGTGTTGCCCTTCCAACAAACCCAAGGAACAGCGTCAACGGAAGCTTCAGCGCCCTTCTACCAGAGAGGGCCGCCCACAGTCTTCCAATCAGAGGCACGACGACCCTGGACAACGCTGGAGCCATATTAGGAATGTGTGCTCCCCCCCGCGTCCCAGGACCAAAGTTCCCCAGTACATCAGTGTCATTGTGACCTACCGCAGTGTGTCATCCCGTCTCCAGATGTTGCCCGACACCGGCGCTGATGCTACAGTCATCGGTCCCCAGCATTTGCAATGCTTGGGGCTCTCTCCAAGTGATCTAGGACCGCCCCCCAAGGATCTCCGCTTTATGGCAGATGGTTCACAGATGACCCCGGCCCTGGGTTCACTCCAAGCACAAGTCACCTTTGGCAACAGGTCGTGTCAAGCCTGGATTGATGTGCATAACGGTGTCCCGACTCCTTTGCTGTCCTACAGACATTGTCAAGAGTTGGCCATCATCTCCCAGGACTTCCCCAAACCTATTCTTGAGGTAAGACACGCCAACAGGGTGCACGAAGGGAGCAGCAACTACCCTGCTGCCGCCCTACCCCTACCTCTTGCCAGTGACACCTCTCCTTCGGATGCTCGGAAGTACTTCCTGAAGGAATTCAGCGACGTTCTGGCGACCAAGTCCGCTCTGGAATCCAAGCCTCTCAAGAAGATGGTAGGTCCCCCCATGAGGATCCACCTGAGGGACGACGCGAAGCCCTTCGCTATTTACACCCCTCGACTGGTTCCCCTGGCCTTCCGCGAGGCGGTCAAAAACGAGCTGGACTCCATGGTCGCCCAAGAAATTATTGCACCAACCGGCGATGAACCGTCTCCATGGTGTCACCCTATGGTTGTCGTCGCAAAACCTAAAGGTGGTGTTCGGATCACCACTGACCTCTCCAAGCTCAACAGCCAGGTGTCTCGTCCTGCGCACCCTTCTCCCACGCCCTTTGCAGCTATACGCAGTGTGAACCCGAAGGCGCGCTTCTTCACGACGATGGACGCCCTGTGTGGATACTGGCAGATAGAGCTTGCCGAAGAAGACCGACCACTCACAACTTTCATCACCCCGCATGGACGTTACAGTTATTGCCGTGGCCCCATGGGATTCGCCGCTACAGGAGACGCTTTCTGTCTTCGAGGTGACATGGCTCTACAAGGTCTGGCAAACTGCGTGAAAGTGGTCGACGACATACTCGTGTACGACGAGGATTATATGGATCACCTCTGCCGTATCTACGAGGTACTCAACAGGTGCCGGAAGCACGGCATTACCCTAAATGCCGACAAGTTTGTTCTGGCCAGCTCTTCAGCTGACTTTTGTGGGTACACCCTCTCAGGGAATGGTATCGCAGCTGACCCGGAAAAGGTCCGCGCCATCACGGATTTTCCCACCCCTGCTAACCTGACCGACTTGAGGTCCTTCATCGGTCTCGTCAACCAGTTAGCAGAGTTTTCGTCAGACATCTCCGCAGCTGCTCAACCACTTCGCCCCCTGATGAGCCCCAAGAGGACATTCCTGTGGACCCCCGACCACGACAAGGCCTTCCAGCAAGTGAAACAGGCCCTGTCTCGTCCACCTGTCCTCGCCACGTTTGACCCAGCCTTGCCGACAGTTCTGCAGACAGATGCCTCACGCTTGTATGGCGTGGGATACGCCCTACTGCAGGATCATGGTGGAGGGCAGTTCCGGCTCGTCCAGTGTGGCTCGCGTTTCCTCTCTGACACTGAGACGCGCTACGCCACCATTGAGTTGGAGCTGTTGGCTGTGGTCTGGGCGACGTCCAAGTGCAGGTTTTACCTCATAGGCCTGCAACACTTTCACCTAGTGACCGACCATCGCCCGCTTGTCCCGATCCTCAACCACTACACGCTAGACGCCGTTGAGAACCCTCGCCTCCAGCGTCTGAAAGAGAAGCTCTCGGCGTACATCTTCACAGCAGTGTGGCGTGCTGGTAAGGAGCTCTGCATCCCTGATGCCTTATCCCGCTCTCCTGTCAGCCGCCCTACTCCAGAAGACCATGTGCTCGACGCCGACCTCGCTCTTTCCGTCAGGACTGTGGTCACTCTCCATGCCGTCCAATCCCTTCGTTCGGACCTGTCACCAGACGACGACAAGGCAATGGAGGACCTTCGAACAGCGGCCCGAGATGACCCTTCCTACGTCCGACTTGTCGAGTGTGTGAGGAATGGATTTCCTAGCAACCGCTACGATCTTCACAACACCCTGCTCCCGTATTGGAAACTCCGCGATGAACTTTACTGCGACGGAGACCTTGTTCTGTACGGAGCACGTGTAGTTGTCCCTGCTGCATTACGTCCCCACGCCTTGGCTCGCCTTCACGACAGCCACCGTGGAGCTGAGGCCACCAAACGACGTGCACGACAGACTGTGTTCTGGCCCGGCATCAACTCCGACATCTCCAATGTTGTCCGTGCGTGTGAGCCCTGCCAAGTATTACAACCCAGCCAGCAGCAGGAACCCTTCATGAGTGACGACAACCCCACCCGCCCCTTTGAGTCTGTGTCGGCCGACTTTTTCTGTGTGTCAGGAAAGTCCTTCCTTGTTATCGTCGACCGTCTCTCTGGTTGGCCGGTTGTCATCAAGTGCGGTAATGACACGACGTCTGCCGCCACCATCAGCAAGTTCCGCCACTACTTCCGTGACGTGGGCGTTCCTGTACGCCTGCGAACCGACGGAGGGCCTCAGTTCACAAGCCGGGACTTTGCTGTGTTCCTTGACCGATGGGGAGTCCGGCATGTGTTGTCATCGCCCCATTACCCGCAGTCCAACGGCCACGCTGAGGCTGCTGTCAAATCCTTGAAGCACCTCATCCTTAAGGTGGCCCCTTCTGGGAATATTGACTGCGAGGCCTTCGACCGGGGTCTTCTTGAACTCCGCAACACACCCAACTACACCGGACGCTCCCCTGCCCAGGTTTTGTATGGACGCCCCCTTCGTTCTTGTGTCCCTGCTCACCCTCAATCCTTCTCCAAGGAGTGGCAGGCCAAGACAGAGGATTGTGATCGCCGAGCCGCCGAACGTGTTCAGGACGTCGTCGCCCGCTACAACGACCACGCCCGTTCCTCCCCAGGTTGAGTGTCGGCACCCAAGTCCGTGTTCAGGACCCGACCTCCCTACGTTGGGACAAAGTAGGCGTAGTCATGGGTCTCGGCAGGTCACGGGACTACCAGGTGCGGTTACCCAGTGGTCGCGTGTGGTGGAGGAACCGCCGTTTTCTCCGCCCCGTAACACTGCCTTCTGCTGGCCCCGCCACCAGTGTTGAGTCCCACACCCTTCCCAGTGATGAAGTCCCTCGACGCTCAGAACGGATCCAGAAGAAGAGGTCCGCTCAAGACTTTGCTATGAGCGTATAGGGGGGAGGGAGGTGTATGTATATTATGTATGCTGGATTATGTATTATGTACGTATATTATGTATGTGCTCCATTTATATTTATTCAGCCTAGCTAGCAGCGTGTGGCAATGTTATTACCATATCCCACACGCTTAATTAATGTGCCCGGCGACGTATGGAAGCTGCTAATGTATCACTTGCCATACGTCGTCTATGGTAGTTGACCCGGACCTTAGCTAGGGAGCAGTGCTACCCACCTCTGTGTACATACTCTTATCCAGTAAACCGAACCTACAAAACTATACAGGTGTTTGTGTTCTCTCCTGTATATAGAACTTATTACCCAGAACATCTAACACATAGCACAATTGGTCTCCATAGAGCAGTTATCTGCTGTATTAATTAGCTATTTATACTTAGCAGCTGGGCATGAACAAGTTCACCCATTGGAGTTAGCCATCCTCCTACAATATAGAAACCTTGTGAATAAGACAGCAGACAAGGCCATATGTGTCATCGAAAAAAAATATTGGAATAGAACTAGCACTACAAAACAGTTAAAGAACACTCTCCACATCATTAAGAACACTGCTCACTTCACAGTCACAAAATGTAAAAACAGTGATAATGGCCACCACTGCTCACATGATGTGAACAAGACAAAGCACTTTACAGTCACAAAAACATAGCAAAACTCACTTCACAGTCACCAAGATAGAGTACAGAGGGGATAGTGCTGTGAATTTGCTTGATTTTCTTTCAGATATGAATAAAAGACAGTGAATTTTGTAAGAATATGGTCTGCAGACATATGGTACTGAGAGATAATTATTGTTTCAGTTGAATACATATGATTTGTGAAAGTGTATGCAGGAACAGTACAAGAGAAAATAATGAATGTTGTTAGAGAATGTGATGTAAATGAAAATTAGGATCTATATACAAATTATTTTCATTAATTTTGTCGGTAATTGTTCAAGGTGAGGATCGTGGATGGTGAAAACAATACTGCCTGGGTGTCAGCAGCCAGACAAAAGCCTCTGTATGCTCCTGAAGAAGCCTCACTCGACATTCCTTTCACTTTCAACGGCTATGCAGCTCATGGTAATGTTACGGTGAGTGATCCAACATGTTAGCTGTCCTCACACTGTGTCTTGTGTTGTAGCTGTCATCACACTGTCTTGTGTTGTAGCTGTCCTCACACTGTGTCTTGTGTTGTAGCTGTCCTCACACTGTGTCTTGTGTTGTAGCTGTCATCACTCTGTGTCTTGTGTTGTAGCTGTCCTCACACTGTGTCTTGTGTTGTAGCTGTCATCACACTGTCTTGTGTTGTAGCTGTCCTCACACTGTGTCTTGTGTTGTAGCTGTCCTCACACTGTGTCTTGTGTTGTAGCTGTCATCACACTGTGTCTTGTGTAGTAACTATATTCATACCATTATCCTTAACTAGGTGTCATGCTTATGGGACTCACTCTCAGACTGTATTTTTAACCAGAAGTTCTTTTTCTAATTCAGTGGTTCTGATAAATCATATACTGTACTGTATTTGCATGAATTGAATTAAAATCTAAGGTTCCCAGGAACTCTCCACTTGATTCCCAGGAACTCTCCACTTGATTCAAGGCTTCACAGAACTTCAGACATCCATAAAAGTTAGGAAACTGGAGACAGGACTCCTCCCAATTCAACTTCTGCTACTTTGAATATGGAGTAGTTCTGGTGAACCATTTGTGAAAAAATGAGAGTGACAAGTCTATGGTACTATCCTATAGCAGATATGCCTTGTTACTTATACACTTTGCCACTGGTTAGCTTTAGCCATTAGGCACTGTTGACAAGTACTGGGCATGCAATGTTTGTAGAATGTATATTTGCCTCTACATGAATGTACCACAGCCTGGAATGTGTGAGGATTCGGGTATGAGATGTGACAACGCAGCACTGTAGCCAGGGCTGAATGAATTAGCGTGTTACAGTGAAATGACCTATTTTGCTTGGCCACACATTAATGTTGAAGAACACTTATCACATGTATGTTTTATTTCTTTTATTGTTGTTTTTATATTGTTACACATATTTATGAAATGTATTATTTACTATGTTCATTGTGTTATGATAATAAAGTGTAAGTGTTCGTCTGTGTTGGTTAATAATTAGTGGTTGGACATCCAGTGATTTCACAATATATTTGACAGGGCTGGATTTCACTTCTATGCCGCCCCTAGGCCAAATTTTCAAAGCAGCCCAGCTATAACGGTACCTAATTTCTACCACTACCTCCTTGTAGCAATGCATGTGATGGAGGGTGCGGGAGGGGGTTTTGAGAATTGCAATTAAATGTCAGGTAGCGACATGTCCTCCTAATATTACGTATTTAAGTAATTATTAGATGTTTTAACTGAGCTATATATTATCAATATGTTAAATAAATTTCAGAATGACCAATAATTTTAATGTAAAAATGCAAATATTCAAGACACCAACAAAATCGATGTTCACTCCACTGTAAACAAAGCCAAACTGACGCCCGATGGGTGAGTCAAGTGGCTGATGGGCGCACAAATAACTAGTTCCCTGTACTGCATATATTATCAATATGTTAACTAAATTTTAAAATGACTAATACTTTTAATACAAAAAATGCAAAAATATTAAGGAGCACTTTCTTGATATTTACTCCACTGGAATGAATGTAAACATAGAACAGATTACAGTATTGGCAGACTAGCCCATCAGCTGATCAGCTGATGCTCACAAGAAAACGTGATGTTCGTAAGGATTTTGTTAATCGAAGTTTTGTTCGTTAACCGAATTGAAGATCCTTGTGGGAGGTAATTCGTTAATCGAACCGTTCGTTAACCGAGGGACCACTGTATATATATATATATATATATATATATATATATATATATATATATATATATATATATATATATATATATATATATATATATATATATATATATATATATATATATATATATATATATATATATATATATATATATATATATATATATATATATATATATATATATATATATATTCTCGGTTTATGTGGATTTTTTATATGCGGTTGGTCATTTACGTGGCACCTGTCCAGGTCGCGCCAATTATTAGTTACGTGGTACATTCCTGAATTTACGCGGGAAGCGGCACGAACAAGCTGTGTGCTCGGTCACTCTTACGTCACCGCTGATGTCAGATGACGTTTCGGACTGTGATTGGGCCACGCATCCTTACCACCCACGCATCCCCTCCACCGTGAGCTGTGCTTGGTCCAATTTAACTTGGCGTGCCCTGCCACCAGAGGGAATAAGTCGCTGACCTTAGAAGCATTAGTCCCATTGTCCTCCGTCTCCGCATATGCAGTGCTCCCTCATGCCCGCTAATATATATATATATATATATATATATATAATATATATATATATATATATATATATATATATATATATATAATATATATATATATATATATATATATATATATATATATATATATATATATATATATATATATATATATAATATATAATATATATATATATATATAATATATATATATATATATATATATATATATATAATATATATATATATATATATATATATATATATATATATATATATAATATATATATATATATATATAGATATATAATATATATGTAATATTCAGAAATTTCAGAGTAATTTCAAATGCCCCGCCATGAGTGATACTGAGCGTTCAAGGTCATCTGAGGGGAGGGAGCGCTGCCTGCTCGTAGCGAGAGACTGCGGAACTAGGCCTATATGATATTAAATGTGATTTACCGAATTAATAATGATGCGATTCATGAAGTTATGGGATTATTATTGAATTTGAAATTATTATAGATCGTTTAGCAGTCTGAATAATGTTACGGGTGTCCCAAGGAGTTATTAGTTAGGCGGTAAATATATCACGTAGGACCAAGCTAGCGCCTTGGGGAGACGCGATGCTGGCTAGGCCCAGTCCCGGAGAGCATTCACACAGACAAGACGTTCCGCGCGTCCATCAGGAATAGTCACGTGGCCTAGTCACCTGTGCTGCGCTATTGCAGTATAACAAGTAAGTCTCATTCGATCTCAGACAGGGTTAGATAGAGCAGTGATAAAGTAAACTAGAGCTAACAGTGAGTTCATTTCAGGGTTTCCGTCAGAACCCACTTGACTGGAGTTGACCGGAGTTGACTGCGAGAGATTGACTGCCGTTGATGATTGAGGGTGGCGATTGTCGCCATTGGACCGATCAGTGTAGGCCTGTCACTGTTTAGCGGGGTAGCAAAGGATCTCTTGAGTGAACGAGTGCTCCCGATAACTAAAACGACACGGGACCAGCATCAGCAGTGGGTGATCAGTTCTTACCCCTCCGGTGCACAACCCCACATGTCCCGAGCAGCTAGTGAAACCCTCTTGCTAACGGGAAGCTAAAGTTCTCTCAACTGTACAAGGTCTGATTGGCTCACTCCCTTCCGCTTTATGGACGCACTGGGAGTACACTGAGGCTATCTGAGTAAACTAATGGTCACACACTGAGACCGTGAGTCTAGGTCTCTAGGAGATACCTAGAGGAACATTTTCCCTCCCTTATTACGGGTGTAGTTAACACCATTCCTCAGACTGATATTATCTTGACGTGTGTAGTTTAATAGTTTCTAAATAATTTTGATAATATTGTTTGAATGTTTGTGCCATTAAGTGGAACCAGAGTGATACTGTGATTTGATTCTTTTAATGCCTCTAATTGTTCTTCATAATTCTGATCTCAGGTATAACTTTTATTCCCCAGAGTAGTGGTTAAGTTAGGTTAGGAAGTGTACATCTGTTGGGGTGCTATAATTTTGTTGAGTGCCCTTAAGGCCTATTCATTGTAGAGTATTTAATTTCTTAAATTTGATTACCATTTCCTCAGTGACTGATATTATTTTGTTGAAAGCCCTCAAGGCCTATTCATTGTAGAGTATTTAATTTCTTATATTTTATTACCATTCCTCAGTGACTGATATTATTTTGTTGAAAACCCTTAAGGCCTGTTCATTGTGGAGTATTTAATTTCTTATTTTTTAGTACCATTTCCTAAGTGACTGATATTATTTTGTGAAAGCCTTAAGGCCTGTTCATATGTGCAATTAACATTTCTTAATACTTTAAATTTATTGTTGCCTGTGTTTCTAATAATTTCTATGTCATGTATAACTTTTATTCCCCAGAGTAGTGGTTAAAGTTTAAGTTAAGAGGTGCGCATATTGGTGTACCATTATTTGATTGTGTTTGTAGTGTTGGTGGGAATATAAGTGTCTAAATTTTACAGTGTGTCTCAGGATTCCATCCCAGTCACAGACGCTATCCTTCCACGGTCACGGACAATAGCTCCACGGTGTAGTAGATTTGGTAAGTGTTCTGTGTTGAATTCTGAGATTTTCTCAAAGGGCGCTTCCACTCACTTTACCATCATTAAATTCTCTTAATAAACCCAAGTCAAGGGGAGAAATTAAAGTCCAGCACCTTATATATATATATATATATATATATATATATATATATATATATATATATATATATATATATATATATATATATATATATATATATATATATATATATATATATATATATATATATATATATATATATATATATATATATATATATATATATATATATATATATATATATATATATATATATATATATATATATATATATATATATATATATATATATATATATATATATATATATATATATATATATATATATATACAGGCCAAGGATATGTCAACGAGATGAGGTATTTTGTGGCCGGGCAAGATGGAAATGCACTGTAAATGACATTCAACACCAGCAAGTGCGGCGCACTTAATACTGGAACAAACAAATACTGTCAATGTACAACCTTAACAACATCAACTTACAGAAGTAGACTTCTATCATATCTCCCCGCACTCTTGGTCTTTGTAGGGAATGCAAGTTAAATTTCTTTAATCTATCTTGATATGGAAGGTTTCTAAGTCCCAGAATTATTTTCGTTATTCTTCGCTACACTGACTCCAGTTATTTGATATCCATTCTATAAATAAGTGCACCAGAATTGAACAGTATAATCGAGGTACTTCCTGATTAGTGCAATATGACCTCCACACTCTTATTACTTATACTTCTAGATATAAAACCCAATACTCTGTTTGCCTTATTTCGGTCATTAACGCACTGTTTTCTAGGCCATAGGTGATCTAACTTAACCTTAGATCACATTAGGTTAGGATTAAGTTAGGTGGGATTAGATTTAGGATAAGTTCAGGTGAAGTTAAGTTAAATTAAGTTAAAACAGATATTAACATTGAACAAGAAAATTTAATTATTTTTGTCTTATTACAAGGTCAAGATAACCACTTCATATTCTTAAAAGCCCCCTACACTATTATCATCTACACCATCATCATCTACACCATCATCATCTACACCATTATCATCTACACCATCATCATCTACACCAGGGGTTCTCAACCAGGGGGGAATTCCCCCCAGGGGGGGAATTCAGGTTTTCAGGGGGGGGGGGAAACTGATTCGGGAGCAAGAGATATGTTCGATGAGAAATCAATCACAGAATTTTGGCCCTTGATGTGCGATTCCTACCCAAAAGTGGCAGAAAGAGCTATCCGTGCATTGCTTCCGTTTGTGTCGACATATCTTTGTGAGTCAGGCTTTTCAACTCTGTTGCAAATTAAAACGAAGCAACGTAGTAGATTAGAGGTAGAAAATGACCTGCGTTGTGCCCTTTCAAGCACTCCTCCGCGTATCCCAGAATTGGCGAAGAAAAAACAATCACAGGTTTCTCATTGACTGTAATCATCTGAATAAAATTAATTACAAATTTACAATATCCTGGTATTCTATTGAACTTTTTGTTTATTGCATTATGCTTCAGTTTGGTCTGTTAAGTAATTCATTATAAATAAAAAAAAACTATTTTACTTTTATTCAAGTTTTAAAAATCCATCAACATTTTCAATTGGCATTTAATTTGTAAAACTCCACTATAAAAATAATCCATGTAAAATTGTAAATGTATATGTACTAATATGGAAAAAATAAAGGATTTTCAGTATTATATGCATATTATTTGGAATGCACTTATTGAGGCAGACAATCTTGGAAAGGAGGGGGGAATGACATTCTGACATATGGTGAAAGGGGTGCATGGGGCAACCAAGGTTGAGAACCACTGTCTTAGCGTTATGTAATAGAAAATCTGGTTTTAGTGGCAGGTTAGGTTAGGTTAGGTTAGGTTAGGTCATTTGTGTTTATTACATCCCAATGCTCGAATGTGATGACGGTAT